TTGACGCCCCACAACAAAACCGAGTCAGTCCCTAAACCTCGGATGAACCGGGATGTGCCAATACGCGTCCTTGAGGTCCAGGGACGCCCACACCACAAGGCACAGAACTGAAACAAAAGCTGGAGCTAGAGGCATGACCGCACCAGACTCCCATCAGCCAAGATCTGTAGGTTGGGTCGCCGGCGGGTGGGTCTGGTACTTCCCCTTCCAGGAAAGGGGAGGGGGATGTTGCACAGACAGCGGCGCGGCGACATGATGATGTCACGTTTGTTTGCGTTGTTCTGTCCACTTGTTCAGCCTTAGGTCGCATTAGTTTTACCAGTATAGGGGTTTGTTTTGGGGTGCCTACCTTTCTGGGTCCCTAACCTGGTTGATGGCAGACATAGAATGCTCCCAACCACAGGAGGGTCTTTATAAGCCATTGGTCCTCGTGCCTCTCTAGAGGGGAGCCAGGATGTGGCTCGTGGTCCCGGGTAGGCAAGAACTCCATGCATTGACTGATGCCAGAAAGTTGTACATATCCATTCAGCCTGGATAGCTCCGGGGAGCCGACGGGGCTCATCCCAGAAATAGGTATTATAAGCCATAAGTATGTCCAGTTATTGTATCATATGACCAATTGCTATTAGGTGGAGCCCAGGAGCTGGTACTAAATTTCCACAAACATGGCTACATATGAATGCACACTCGTACACATTTGTATCATCTTTCAAAAATTGATAGAATGAAGAACTAGCTGAGCTTAGCTTAGCTCCAAGAAGACATACTCCTCAATCAGTACACGTTATTGTAAACAATGCCTCCATTAAACCTACATGGACACAGGTTGTAATCACCTCTTGAGCTGGGAATCAAAACCATTTCCCATTTTGTCACTACTGTACATTCATATGTTATTACAGTAGTGTCCACAAGAAACAAAGATATTTAAACATTTTAATTTTCATATCTTTATCCCAATGTTGGTTCAATTTACTGTACACGCACTCTCCAAAAAATCCGAACTTCTATAAATTGTATTTCCCTAAAAAACCAAATCTGCCCACCAGATCTTCCCTAAAGTCCAGATATATTAAAAAAAAAAAAAAAAAAAATATTATCTATCTAAATATACAGAAACATGTAATGAATCATTTGCAATAACAAAATTCTTATAAATTTGATGATAAATGCTAAATAGGAAAATAGAAAAAATAAGAAAAAATAAAGAAGTACACGTATTTGGAAATATGGGTTGGGTCAGAACGCTATAAATCATGTTTTGGAAGGTCCACCGTGCAATAAAAGTAACTGCTCTTTCTCAGTAAAAAAAAAAAAAAAAAAAAAAAAAAAAATATATATATATATATATATATATATATATATATATATATATATATATATATATATATATATATATATATATATATATATACAGTATATATATATATATATATATATATATATATATATATATATATATATATATATATATATATATATATATATATATATATATATATATATATATATATATATATATATATATATATATATATATATATATATATATATATATATATATATATATATATATATATATATATATATATATATATATATATATATATATATATAACTGAAAACTCACACCCCAGAAGTGACTCGAACCCATACTCCCACAACTGGTATGTACAGGGACGCCTTAATCCGCTTGACCATCACGACCGGACATAAGGAAGTGATAGCCGAGGCTATATGAACCACTTCCCCGCCGGCACTCGGATGGTAATCTTGGGCATAGCATTTTATCAAATCACCTCATTCTTTGGGGCACACGTGAGGAACACAAATGCAAACAAGCCTGAATGGTCCCCAGGACTATATACAACTGAAAACTCACCCCAGAAGTGACTCGAACCCATACTCCCACAACTGGTATGTACAGGGACGCCTTAATCCGCTTGACCATCACGACCGGACATAAGGAAGTGATAGCCGAGGCTATATGAACCACTTCCCCGCCGGCACTCGGATGGTAATCTTGGGCATAGCATTTTATCAAATCACCTCATTCTTTGGGGCACACGTGAGGAACACAAATGCAAACAAGCCTGAATGGTCCCCAGGACTATATACAACTGAGTTTTCAGTTGTATATAGTCCTGGGGACCATTCAGGCTTGTTTGCATTTGTGTTCCTCACGTGTGCCCCAAAGAATGAGGTGATTTGATAAAATGCTATGCCCAAGATTACCATCCGAGTGCCGGCGGGGAAGTGGTTCATATAGCCTCGGCTATCACTTCCTTATGTCCGGTCGTGATGGTCAAGCGGATTAAGGCGTCCCTGTACATACCAGTTGTGGGAGTATGGGTTCGAGTCACTTCTGGGGTGTGAGTTTTCAGTTGTATATAGTCCTGGGGACCATTCAGGCTTGTTTGCATTAGTGTTCCTCACGTGTTCCCCAAAAGAATGAGGTGATTTGATAAAATGCTATGCCCAAGATTACCATCCGAGTGCC